CCAAGATCTGAGTCTAAGTCACTCTCTTTCTGTTTGTGTACATGTCTGCACATTTGTTAAAAGGGGTATTCGTAGACAGAGAGGCATGAAAGCTCCATCAGCACCTAATCATCAATAATTTCAGGAAGATTGAGAGATAAATGGAAGTAGGAAAACTTTCTCAACAATGGTTTGTATGTCTACCGTAGCACAGCCATTGGCACATAGCAGACAGTCATCTTTAATGCTATGTCTTCATAGCTCCTAAAATTATCTCAAGAACCATGTCAAATCATTGGGTGGCATCTGCCCCATTGTTAGAGGTGACTCTACAGCTTTTTAAGAAGCTTGACTCTTAACCTTCTTGTACTTTTCATGTTTGTTTTTAACAGTAGGCGTGTACTGTTTCTTTTTTCTAAGAATCACAGAGTGTCACAGCTATACCAGAGCTTAATCAGTACATAATTCAAAGGGCCATTGGTACTAGCTGAATATGACTCTTAAGCTTCTTAAGAAGACAGGCACTTGGATTTTCCAAGCTTAGGTGGCTGTTGTGGGGATGAGAGAATGCAGGCCAAGTGTCAGCACAGGGCCTTTACATGAAGCAAGGGTGTGATAAATCCTGGCTGTGAGCATCACTGCCATCCTTATTGTCATCATTGTCACTATAATTTCCAGGGAAAGAGCTACCAGCCTCTACGGCGATCCAAGAGAAGATGGGTTATCACCACCTTGGAGCTGGAGGAGGAAGACCCGGGACCCTTTCCCAAACTGATTGGTGAGGTGAGGTGCCTACTCTTAAGGAATGACCCCATCATGGCCTCTGAGTCAGCATGCCCCTTTGGCCAGGAAGATTAAGTCTCGAAAGGTTTTGTGCTAGTGAGGCCAGGGAGTGAAGTAGAGCATAAAGAGCACTGGCCTGGGGTTCAGGATGCCTGCGTTCTAGAACTCACTCTACTTCTACCTGGGTATGTGACTTTGAGCGAGTCACTTCTCCGTGTGAGTGTCTGATGAGAATCTCATACAGCAACAGGGTGGTTAATTCCAACTGACAGGTCTGCTTTATTTGGCCCATGCAGAGGGTTTTTTTTGTTTTGTTTTTGTTTGTTTTTTTTTTTTTTAATATTATTTTAAAATAGGGAGATTGTCGACTGGGCACAGTGGCTCATACCTGTAATCCCAGCACTTTGGGAGGCAGAGGAGGGCGGATCATGAGATCAGGACATCGAGACCATCCTGGCCAACATGGTGAAATCCCACCTCTATTAAAAATACAAAAAATTAGCCGGGCATGGTGGCAGGCGCCTGTGATCCCAGCTACTCCGGAGGCTGAGGCAGGAGAATGGCATGAACCCGGGAGGCAGAGCTTGCAGTGAGCCAAGATTGCACCACTGCACTCCAGCCTGGGCGACAGAGTGAGACTCCGTTTCAAAAAAATAAAATAAAATAAATAAATAATAAATAAATAAATAAATAGGGACACTGTCTTAAAAATTTTGCCCTTCTAGAGACTTTTTAAAAGTGGAAAGTTCTGGCCACATGGAACCCACATTCCCACATGACAACAATTAGGTGGGGCTTGAGTTACTCCGAATACCACAGTTTCCACCACTCCCTATTTCCTCCCTCTTGCTGAGGGCAAGCACCGCCTTGAAAAAGTCACATGGTATTGGAATGGTAGAATCTTTCCACCAGGCTCATGTTGTTTATTTCTGCTACCTTCCTGGTACCAATGGCCCTTCGAATTATATACTGATTAAGCTCTGACATTCTGTGACATTCTGTGATTCTTAGAAAAAGGAAACAGTACATGCCTACTGTTAAAAAACAAATATAAAGAGTACAGAAAGTTTTCAAGTCTCAGTGGTTAAAAGTATATACTCCTAAGAGTCAGGGGGAGTGAGTGGGTTCATATTCCTACTGCACCACATCCTTGCTGGGTAAGTTAGAGATTCTTAATGTGTCTGTACAATGAGGTCGATGATATTGCCTACATTTCAGAGATGTTTTAAAGATTAAATAGGTTAAGGCAAGCAAGGCATATTGTAGGCCCACTCATTCTAAACTCTTTCTAAATGTTAGTTGTGTGATCACTACTTCTCTTTCCTTCAAGGGATAATCAATATTAAATAAATTGGTATGTGTGGTTCCAGATATTTGTTTACAGATTTTCTGATGTGAATCTGCGTCAAAGAAATGAGATCACACTTGGTGTGTTGTTCTGCTTGCCTTTCTTGTTGAGCGATGTGTCCTGCTCATCTTTCCGTCTTTCTATGGCAGTGTAAATACATCTTTGAAGGCTACAGAGTATCCCATGCTATGTGAAGGAAGTATCACTATATTATTTTTTTCATGTCGATGAACATTTATGCTATTTCCAAATTGTCACTATTACAGACCAAACTGCAGCCAACAGTTCAACACCATTGCTCCTGCATCTCTGCCCATCTGTTTATTTCTTTGGCAGATGTGCCATTGCTGGGTATAATTTCTTAAAGATGCCATTGATTCTTAGCCTTGATACTTGACTATCATAGTGGCTTATTCTCATCCTCCTTTTCATTTTTCCTCCTTCTAGCTGTTCAATAATATGTCTGATAACATGTCACTCATGTATCTACTCAGTGGACCTGGTGTGGATGAATATCCAGAGATTGGTTTGTTTTCTCTTGAAGATCATGAGAACGGAAGGATATATGTTCACCGCCCTGTTGATCGAGAAACGACACCGTCTTTCACGGTATCTAAAATTTGATATATTCTAAGCTTGGATTTGAAAGCTCTTGCAAGACTGTTGTATTTGGTAAGCATTATTTAAGCTGACTATGTGCCAGGTTCCGGGAGACTGAGAAATTATGCCTTGTGACAAGCTTTACGAGTATGCCTGAGACTTTTGTAATCTTCTTTTAGAGTTGTGGGCTTTGGCTTTGTAATGATTTCTGCAATCGATGTGAGCTGCTGTAAGTCTTTATTCTAATGACTAGTGTCCTAGCATGATCGGGATGTCTGAAAGCACTTGGGGATAGGGTCACAGAATGTTTATAAAATGGGCTTATTTATTTATTTATTTATTTATTTATTTATTTATTTATTTATTTTTTGAGATGGAGTCTTGCTCTGTCACCCAGGCTGGAGTGCAGTGGTGCGATCTTGGCTCACTGCAAGCTCCGCCCCCTCCTCGGTTCATGCCATTCTCCTGCCTCAGCCTCCGGAGTAGTTGGGACTACTGGCGCCCGCCACCACGCCCAGCTAATTTTTTGTGTTTTTAGTAGAGACGGGATTTCACTATGTTAGCCAGGATGGTCTCAATCTCCTGACCTTGTGATCCCCCCACCTTGGCCTCCCAAAGTGCTGGGATTACATGCATGAGCCACGGCGCGTGGCCTAATTTATTTTTTTATGAGTGACTTCTGAAATATGGAGACAAGCCATAACAGACCCAGTGGGTGGCCCAATAACTGGTGCATGAGCAATCGCATACCTGTTGACGATGTCTTATTGTGAGTGCAGGTTTTCTTTACGATTTCATCACTGCAACACTGTGGTTTACTATGAAGTTGAAATTCAGGTTCTAAACTAGGAAAAGAAATCATAAAGAAAAAAGCCCTAAACCATGTATCACGTTACCCATCTAACATAATAGGGAGTCCTTAGGTAGTCAAAATGTGTTCTATTTTGACTTCAGTGGACTGGAGCTGTCGGGAACTGGGCTTGGTTCTCGGGCCTGCTTGGCTGTACATTTGTTCATTAACTTTTTCAGGGTGGAAAGATGTCGATTAACATTCAAGAAAAGTAATATATGAAGCTTTTCTCCAGTGATCTCAATGTACTGATATACACAATAAAAGATAAACCCTTAACTCACTAATAGGCTCTGACTCTCTAATTTTTAAATAGGTGAAAATTCTCCTAAAACTCCAATGAACAGGCAAAGATGACTCTCTAGGTCTTCCTTATCCATATGAATGCATGCCTCCCTTCTGTGTAGACTTCGCAGTGTCTGTTAAAAAGAAGGAGTAGAGAGTCGTCACAAGGAGACACTGAGATAGCACTTCTCAATCTTTAATGAGCAAACAGATCACTTAGGGATCTTGGTAGAAATGCAGATTCTGTTTTAGTAGGTCAGGGTGAAGCCTGAGAGCCTGCATGTCTAGCAAGCTCCAGGTGATGCTCATGCTGCTGTCCTCGGGCTTCCATACATTGAGTGGGGAGGACGTAGTGATGGTCATGATCTGTGCAGGGATGGAGCCACACATTCAGTGCTCACTTGTTGTTGTTGCTTGTTTGCTTTTAATATTTTGTTTTTTCCTTTCCTTTTATTATTATTATTATTTTTAACTTTCATTTGAAGTTCAGGTACAGGTTTGTTATATAGGTAAACGTGTATAATGAGGGTTTGCTGTACAGATTATTTCATCAGCCAGGTATTAAGCCTAGTACCCACTAGTTAGTTTTCCTGATCCTCTCCCTCTTTCCACCTTTCACCCTCTGAGAGATTCCAGTGTCCGTTCCCAGTGTCCCTCCATGTGTTCTCATCATTTAGCTCCTATTTATAAGTGAGAACATGCAGTATTGGTTTTCTGTTCCTGTGTTAGTTTGCTAAGGATAATGGCCTCCAGCTCCATCCATGTTCCTGCAAAGGACACAGTCTCATTCTTTTTTATGGCTGCATAGTATTCCATGGCATGTATGTACCATATTTTCTTTATCCATTCTACCATTGATAGGCATTTAGGTTGATTTCATGTCTTTGCTACTGTGAATCCTGCTGCAGTGAACATACTCATGCATATGTCTTTATGGTAGAATGATTTATATTCCTTTGGGTATATACCCAGTAATAGGATTGCTGGGTTGAATAATATTTCTGTTTTTAGCTCTTTGAGGAATCACCACACTGTCTTCCACAATGGTTGAAGTAATTTACACTCCCACCAAGAGTATATACATGCTCCTTTTGTTTTTTTTGTCTGCAACCTCACCAGCATCTGTTGTTTTTTGACTTTTTAATAATGGCCATTCTGACTGGTGTGAGATGGTATCTCATTATGGTTTTGTGGTTTTAATTTTCATTTCTCTAATAATCAGTGATGTTCAGCTTTTTTTCATAAGCTTACTGGCCACAAGTATATCTTCTTTTGAAAAGTGTCTGTTTATGTCTTTTGTCCACTTTTTAATGGGTTTTTTTCTTGTAATTTTGTTTAAGTTCCTTATAGATGCTAGATATTCGATCTTTTTCAGATGCAAAAGAAACTATCAACAGAGTAAACAGACAACCTACAGAATGGGAGAACATTTTTGCGAACGATGCTTTTAACATTTTAAATGATGTATTAAGGGTTGGCATTCATAATGTCTAATATGGGACTTTGTGTCTAAAAGCTGATAATGCTAAAGCCAAATATCTAAGAGCATTTCCTGAAACTCAAAGTTGAGTTGGAAATGCTTGGCACATCACAGACAGATCCCAGGGACCATTTAGAGCAAACAGTGACAGTGTGGGGTGGGGGGAAACACATGGCATCCCCGAGTTCTGTTATGTCAGGTTTTCAGGGCCCTATGCTTGGAGCTCCCTGGCTAGGCCAAATCCCTGTTCTGATTCCCCAAACATTGACCACAGTTGTCTTTTAATATTGATTTATGTACTTATTTGATCCGTGGCCCTCTCATTTAACTACGAACTTCCACAGGGAAAGATACAAGGTGGAGATTCTGAGGCATGTCCCAACCTTGCCCGTCACTCTCCATCTCATGACCCTGTTTTATTTTCTCCTCAACACCACTCATCACCTGAAATGTGAACTTCGTGTTTAATTCTCTGTTGATAGTTGATCTCCTCCATTAGAATGCTGGTCCATTAGAATGCAGAGAGACTCTGCCTTATTCTTGACTTTGGGGAAAGTCTGCCATTGCCCCAGGGTCAAGATCAGGGCTCCTCACATAATAGATTCTCCCTTAATCATGTTAGATGAAGGAGTCAATGAATGAGCGAGCACAGTAAAATGTAGCCTCGGCCTTGCTGGGTGTTGTGAGTTGAACTGTGCCTGCCAAAAAGAGATGTTCAAGTCCTAACTCATGGCACCCACGCCTGTGACCTTATTTGGATATAGGGTCTTTATAGGTGTAATCAAGTTAAAATGAGGTCATACTGGATTAGGGTGGGCCATAACCCAGTGACCAGTATCTTTAGAACAAGAGGGAATCTTTGACACAGAGACAGATGCAGAGGAGAATGCCAGGTGAAGGTGGAGGCAGAGATTAGAGTGATGCCAAGGAATATCGAGGCTTGCTAGCAACCACCTGAAGCCAAGAGAGGCAGGGAATAGTCTCTCCCTCAGAGCTTCCAGAAGAACCAACCCTGCTGACTCCACCATTTCAGCTCTAGCCTCCAGAACTGTAAGAGAATAAGTTTCTAGTGTAAGTCATGGAGTCTGTGGTATTTTGTTACAACAGCCACAGGAAACTAACAGCCAGGGGCTTACACACTATTTAGGAGCATATGAAATGGTCCAATGAGAAGGATTACCAACCAGGAAGGGTGGTATAAGCCATGTCCTATAAATGAGGACATATCCTAAACACGACACAAATTGAGCATCCTAGCTTAACCATCCGCTCCTGTGAGAGAACGATTATTATTGGCTTTGGCAGTCCATCAAGATAGTACATTATTAAAAATCAAGTAAGCCTAATGTAGCAGCAAAAAGACATTCCAGTAGCACTTCTTTACTCTTGAGCATCCTGATAGGGTCTCTAAAACCAACCAAAAGCAAAACTGTGCTCAGGGAGTGTGTGGGGGAGGCCAACTTTTTATTAACTCCATGCGTCTACAAGAAAGCAGTAACACTAGTTGAGAATTACTGTAAGATTTAAGACAGAGACAGCAACAGGAAAAGTTTTAATTTTTTTCTGTGTATGGACCTTATCTATTTATATCAAAATATGCTCATTTTTGTAGAATACAAAGCTACCCCCAAAGCCATCCTTTTATATTTCTCAGAATAATTATGTGTTAATTTTTATCACCACACAGTCTAACCTATGCATTCGCGATTTGGTATTGTTCATTTGGTCCTGAAGGTGTTTCCATGTGCTCATTTGTGTGTAAGGCCATAGATCTTGTGCCTGTAATTTCAAATAGTCATATGGTGATGCATCCAGTTAACGCACTATGGTTTGTTTATCCAAAGGTATAAATCTTGAGGCTATAACAAAAGGCTGGAAACACTTTCCAAGTGCAGAAAATGTCCATGACATTTCTTTTCACCATTGTAATCCGAAATCCTAGAAATTCTTAGCATCTTGCCAAAGAATAAACAGCACTCGTGTTTCTCAGGCGTCTTATGGAACTAAAGGTCTCATATGTAGCTTTAGGATAATAAATGAAATATAAAATAATAAACATGAAACACACAAGTGGTTCTTTTTTTAAATGGAAGGAGTACGGTTGGCACGGTTTTACAGCCAGAAGTCAGGGTGATTAAGGAGCAAAGAGTTGCCAGCACAGTCATAAATTATGGAGGAGAATGTAGAGATGGTGTGTGAGAAAGCCAATTTATTTGCACAAAAATTTAAAAATGTATGCTAGAGTCCCTGAAGTCCCTGAAGCGGACTAGCTCAGTAGTAGAAGCCCTGAAGGCTCCCTCAGTCCTACTGTGGAGGAGGAGGAGCGCTGACCTGCGCTAGACGTGGGGGCTGCTGTTCTAGGATACCTGGTGGGACCGCGGTGATGGAGTTGAG